CTTTTATATAAGTAATAATTTGAATAGAATTGTTCAAAATCATATGCTAGAGTAATAATTATATAATTTTATACATTTAAAATGTTAAATATAATCAAGATATACATATATTTATATATTTACGGATCGGATCGGATATCCGCTTCCCAAAATTTTACTATTTGTGATTTGCTTCGATTTTAACGGATATTGAATTTTAATATTTGCTTTGATTCGAAAGTTTACGGATATTCGGAATTTTCGGATCGAATCGAAACGAATAACGAATCGAATCAAATATAACGGATAAAATGCCCAGCCCTAGCTATATGGAGAAAGTTAAAGAAGTGAAGAGTAATAATTAAGCTGTGGTATTACCTTATGAATCATATATTGTTTGATGTAAAAGGCTTTATTCAAGACCCTAGTAGAATTGAATCATAGAATCTTAAGCAGGGGAGCATAAACATTGTGGCAGATGGTGTGATATTTGTGTTGTATAAGGGATTGATATATGGTTTGTTATGTACATGATTGTGTTATATAGAATGCATAGTTAATCGTGAAAGCCATTCTTTGGATTGTACATACAACAAATGTAGTTGAACGTAGATGGAGAAAATGAATATCTCAATACAAAGGAAAAGTTTGATCTTTAGGATCCTAAACTTGGTGTCTGCAGACCAAACAATAAAAGGGTCCAGTCAAGCAACAGGTGTGCACTTAATCGAGATGAGCGATGGTTAGATTAGATGCATTTAATGTTTCCAACCCTATTCAATATTTTTGTAAGCCGTTGAAGTTTAGTTTTGTGCACACAATTTTTCAAAGGTCCAAAATCAATTTTTGAAATACCAGTTTAAAACATTAACATTCCAAATATGTCTTAAACTAAGTAAACGCAGAAACAAAGACACCAATACCTAAGTTCATACTTTACTTTTTATTTGTAATTACATTCTAACCTCTATAACTTAATACTCAATAAATTAATAATTTTTATCTATTCTATTAATTTTGCAACATAACATATTATTGATGAAGGTTGAATCCAACTAATTATTCGTATATTTTATTTTTAGTAATATATCCTACTTTATTTCCTTAATTATCGAGACCCATTTCTCTATATATTCTTATGGCGACAATTATGCTTCTCTTTTTACATGATAGTTATGCTTTACACTCATTCGTTTTTGTTTAATGGATATTCGTATAATTAACCTATATTTCTATTATTTAAATCAGTTATATATCACATACATGTGTCTAGGTCTAGATATTCGGGGTCCCAATCGGGTTTCGATTTAGTCCAATTGGGTTTAAATATTTTGGGTTTATCAAAATCAGCCTCATCCGGGTTATATCAAAGTTTGGTTCGGGATCGATTTGAATTCTATCGGGTTCGGGTCGGGGTTAGTAAATTTTCAAAGAACCAGTATAACCCATTGTACTTTCGGTTTCGGGTCCTAATCGGCTCTTTGGTTTAAAAGTACATGATTTGTACTTACTTTGTAATCAAAACATAAATAAAATCGATTCTTCAAATTTAAAGTACATGATTTATATCTGTTTTGTAACCAAAACATAAGTAAAATTAATTCAAAAAATAAAAAAAAAGAACATTAAACGTGATCATTCAAAATCAAACGAAAGGTAAACATAGTTACTGATAGAAAAAAAAACCAAATAAATGAAGACATAAAACGGAAACCAAGTTCTCATGAAAAGAGAAACATTTTTTCAGTGAAAATAAAGCCAAAAACTAAAAGCTTCAAACTTCAACCACCACCTGCAACCAAACTTTCATGTAAAAAATAATTATTTTAGATGTTCAAGAATATCTTAAATTATCTTGGATATATATTAGGAATTGAAATCATGTTTGGTACAAGTTTTTTTGTGATTTTGAATGTTTCGGGTTTTATCGGATATCCATTTAGGTTCGGATTCGGTTCGGATAATACCCATAACCCGAAATACCATAAAACAAGATCCATTCGATATTTATGTTGGATTCAGATCAGTTTTGTTGCATTTTTATCGAATCGGATTCGATTCGGATTTTCGGGTTCAATTTATTTGCCTAGCTCTACATGTGTGATAACTAATAAGTGATATAATATAATAATAATAATAAGAGAAAATTACTCAAACTAACTCACATTTTCCTGTTAATTACTAATCTAACTCTCATCTATCGACATATGCTCTCTAAAGTGTAAAAGACGAATTAACCCTTTTTATACTATTATTTATTATAAATAGAATTTTCATTTAATAACATTAATAAAATAAGAAATTTTAAAATAAAATAAAAACATATTTAATAGGGTTTCACGGTTCCATTGTTGACAACCGTTGATTGTCTACGACGACCTTCGATTTCTCCATTCCCCGACTTTCGTTTCCACCGGCGTGAAGAGCGCCGTTTGGGAGAGGAAGCATAGAAACACCTACTTCAACGAGTCTACGTTCAAGCGGCTCTTGTCTTCTCCGTTAGTGAAGCCTGTCACGAGTCTAGGTTCCGACGGCTCTGTCTTCTCCGTTAGTGGATGTCCTCTGGTTAGATTCAGAACCGTAATTCTCTGTCATATATTTATTTTATTTTTTTGAACAAATAATATATTTATTTAGGGTTTCAATCTTCCTCCCCAATTTGAACGAATTTCAAAACAATTAATCTTGTTCACAGTCACGGTGGTCTTAGGTTCACGGTGGTCTTAGGTTCTGACAAAAATTGAATCAGTTCTTGTTGCTACTGACCACCTTAGATATCAACCCAAGGTCAGTATATGGTTTCAATCTCTATCGTCAATGTGAAGCTTCTACTGAAAAATATCAATTATCTCATTTAAGTCACTGAGGTGCTCCAATTGCAATTTAAAGCTTTTGTTTTTGTCCGTTTCTAATCCACTAATGCAGCTGAATGTATTATATTTTGTCCATTTGTGTTATTATTTTCATTCTATTTTTTGCTTATTCTAAAATCGTAGAACATTAGTTGATTTAGTTTTTTTTTAGTTTTTTGTTTGTGAATTTAACAGTAATCATTTCATATTGGTTTGTGTAACCAACTCTTACATGTTACATTGTGAATATTTTTTTACTTATATGTATTTGGTTGTAACTATTTCATACTAACGTTACTTTAAACTTTTCATTCGTAGATATGGCCTCAGCTAGCACTACGACTAATTATCCGCAACGTCTTTACAAACAGGGGAAAACACCTAAACAACAAAAGAGTATGAGTTACTATAGTTATTTGTCAAATTTTCAAATGGTGGAAGTGGGAGTAGGAAATGACGCATGGGATGCATTGAAGAAGTCATCAGTTGGAGTTTTTCCTAGATTTTACGAGCTTGTTTTCACTTGGTCTGCAAAGGTTGTTCATTACCTCTTAACGCATCAGCTGGTAGTTAGAAAGAATTATGAGATATGGTCATTGATTGATTGGCAGCCTATCCGTCTTTCTTTGTTAGAGTTTGGTGAGATAACTGGTTTGAATTGTAATATGTTTGATGATGGCGACCTTTGCAATGTTGATCATAAAGAGTTTTGGGCAGAACTTAATGTGTGTACATCTGTTGGTCCTAGTCTGAATGAGCAGCAGTTGGTGTTGGGAAGATGCAAAAACTGGAGTCTTCAGAAAAGGATTATGGTCGGATGGTTGTGTATTTTGCATATTGCAATATTTGGCATAGCTCCTACAAGTCGGATCCCGTTGGAGTGTGCAAAGAGAGTACTTGATTCTGAATCTTTCGAGAGATATCCATGGGGTCGGGTTGCATGTAAGAATTTAATACACTCTATTAAGTGTCTCAGTTATGACGCAAAGAAATCGTATACAATGGAAGGATTTGTATACGTGCTACTCATATGGGGATATGAGGCTGTTATTGGGCTAGGAGAACAGTATGAAAACAAAATTGTTGGGGCAGAAGTTCCTCTCCTTTCATGGGCTGGATCAAGACCCCGGTTCGAGATTGACGACTTCATTAGACAAGAAAAAATCTCACATGAAGATAAGGTACTAGATTTGTAATGTTTTATTTATTTTTTGGTGATTTTTTAAGTTTTTTTAAAGAATCTCACATTTTTCTCAGGTTCGGGTACGGCATTTATTTTCATACGTGGATGAGAATATAGTCCCTAAATGGGATGGTGAGCTTGAAGATGAAAATGTGAACCACTTGATTCGTGATATATTGCATGGCTGTGTCAATCGTAAAGCATGGGATTTACTTGAAACTTCAGTTAGGAAGAGGACTAAGCATAAAGAATCTGTCTCCATCAATGTTTCAGAGGATTCACCAAACAAGGAGAAAAAGGCTAAACCTATGGAAGATGTTTCAGAGCATTTTCTCTACCCCACGAGTCAAGGCTGTTTTCATTGTTCCTGCATCAGTCCTTCTATCTGAAAACCACCTCGTCATCATTAACCGGATTGCATCCAAAAGTTTTACAATTGGCAAACTTCTGGAACTTGATATCACTTTGTTGATAGATTCTGCGATGTTTGTTGTCGTCAAGTTGTATCTATCACCAGGAAAGTGCACACGAGCCCACTTTTTAACATCAGCACGCTCCAAATACTTATGTAGTGCTGGGTTCATCAACTGGACCTCATGATAGGTTGTATTGAAGTCAGATATTCTAAAAGCATTTGCAGCTTTTTTAACCAACCGAAATGCATCACCGCCTCTGAAATGTAGCAATATATTTTTTTAAAGATGGTATGTGCATATTCCACGACTAGATTTCGGATACACCTTTCCAATAGCTTTACCAATAGCTTTATGCCTATCAGATATAAGTGCAAGTTCTTCATCATCTGGAATCACTTTGCTAAGCTGTCGGAAGAACCATTCCCAAGATTCATCATTTTCGGTATCGACGATTGCAAAAGAAATTGGAAATATTTGAAAATTTCCATCTTGCGCTGCTGCAGTTAGTAGTGTTCCTTTGTATTTTCCCTGCAGAAATGTACCATCCACGATAATTACCTTTCTCATGTAGGGTAATCCATTGATACTAGCAGCAAATGCAAGGAACAAATACTTAAATCTGTGTAACTCATCGACTTCCAAACACGTGTAAGTCCCTGGATTTGCTTTTCGTATATGATATAGATATGTGGGCAAATCTGAGTATCCACTCTCCCGGGAACCTCTAACAATATTTCTTGCACATATAAGTGTCCGATGAGACTTCCAATAATCCATCTAGTTACAGGTTATTAAAGAAAAACATGTTAGCCACATCATAATATGTTACAGTAGAAACAAAATAAAAATAAAGTATGTCGTTTAATTGAGAAACCTTGACACCAAATCTCATGTTTAAGGCTTCCCCAACATGTTTAGGCAGAACTTTTGAATCAACTCCTCCAACAGAGTCCACATACAGTAATGCAAGAATTTATGGAGTTGCTTGTCGGGCACGGGCAGAACGCTCTGTAACAGAACATGAATGTTCTGAATTGTACACTCGAATAGTAAACCGAGTAGAATCTCCAACTGGGGTGGCTCTTACTCTCCATGTACAGCTTTCAACCCAACACTTAATTACTTATATATATGGTCTTGATACTTCTACTTTAAAATCAGATTTCTGAAGTACTGACAATATTTTCAACCGAGTCTCCAGTGCATCTTTTATGTCGTACCGTTGTCCAACAGCTAGATTCCGTGAGTCTAACTCTAACTTAACATGTTGATTAATGCTTTTTACATGAGCGCTCGCATACGTGGATCCACTATTGGTACTTGGTGATTTTTTATTTTTGTCCCTTCTTCGGCTTGTACCCCATACGATATGAAGTCTTCATCCCCCGAAGATGCTCCATCTGAATCATCACAATAATCAAATATTTCATCTTCCTCGTCACTTACATCATCGTCTTCTTTGGTAGCTACATTCTCATCTTCTTTCTCCAGAACTATTTCTTTAAGTTAGAGACAAATTTTCATCGGTTCGGACTTTAGTTGTTCCAAAAATCCAGAAAATTGCCTTTGATTTTCAATATCTACAGGAGGTGTGTTTTGAGGTAATGTCACCAAAACCTTTTTCGGATACATGTAGCTTAACTCCACCTTGTAATTTTGTGTATCGATCTTGTACTCTTTGATCACCATCTGAACAAAATCTTCATAGCAAATTTTATCGTTTACTTCTATAACCTTGCTTCGTTTTTTCTTGTCAACACCAAATAGCCATCTTGTTTTTTGAAATATCCATTTACCACACGTAAGAGTAAGTTGCCCCATCTGTGTAAAAAAGGAAGAAGAAAGGATGAAGAATCGTGAGTCTATAGAAGAAGAAGACGGCTTGACGTGTTTAATAAGTGACGTGAATAGATCTATTTAGATTAGGGTTTGATTCAGTTTTATCTGTGGTCTAAATTGAGTTATGCTTTAGTTTACACAATTAAATTATGGTTTGGTTTACATATTTAAATTATGATTTGTTTTAAATTAAACCCGGTTTACATGGGTTGTCACGATTTTGCTTAACCGGTCCGTTTTGGTTTGTTGCGTCACAACTATAAGTCTGTCTCTGAAAAGAAAAAAATTTGTGGTCAACAGTAAATAAATCTGTTGAAGTTTGTTAACTAAATCGATCAAAAATAAATAAATCGGTTGAAAAATAGATAAATCTATGAAACTAAAATAAATTTGTGGTCAAATCAAAATTAATCTGTGAAAACGAAATAAGTTTGTCAATAACAAATAAATATGTGCCTAAAGGACCAATAAATCTATCAAACCTTAGACAAATCTGTCAATTTTTGATAAGTCTATAGCTATAAGAAATAAGTCTGCTGGTTTAGTAATAAATCTATCAAAATTAAATAAATCTGTTGTCAAAGAAAAATAAATCTATCCAATAAATCTATGAAAATCAAATTAAGTCTATCGATTTTACATAAGTTTGTGGCAATGTAGAAATAAATCTATGGTTAATAAATCGGTTGCTTCATATAACGTGAACCAAATAAATATATTCAATGGCAAAATCGTAATTATTAATTAATTTATTTTAAAATTAAAAATATAATAATGGCAGTATTGTAATTATCATTTTTCGTCATAAAGGATCTAAGGACATTATAGGTATCAAAACTAAACCAATAATTAAAATAATATTAGACATAATCTAGTAATAAACGGATAAATTAGGTCTAAACTAATTTTTTTCCCTAATAATAATGATTAATCTATTTATCTATTCTATATAAAACATGTTCATGACCTATTGATAAATATTATGTTATCTATCTATTTTATTAAAACACAAATTTAATCTATTGGTATTAGTTCAATCCAACAATTAAATCAACAAAATATATCTATATATTCGTAAAACTGCAACGAGAATGAAGGAAGATTATATGATAACTACAACAACATTAATTTCCTTACTTTCCTTATGGTAACCATCACATTGATAAGGTTAGAGTATAATATTGTATTATATTAAATTCATATCATGCACAAATATGATTACGCGAACACACATATTATACGAGGCAAAAAACTTTAAACAAAAATCATACCCGCTCTATTGAGGGCGGATCAATCTCTAATAAATTAAAAAATTTTATCGGTCGCAACTTCGATCGGTTCAAAATTTGACACAAATCGTAAAATAATAAGATAATAACTTTTAAAAAATTCTATGTAAATATATGGTCTTATTAAAATTATAAATTAATAATTTCTATATATAAATATTATATATAAGTAAGAACTTATCATTATATTGTTTTCTTATATTGACAATGAAATTATCTTCACATTTTCTTAACACATAATATATTTTTGATGAGATTTAGTAATATATATCTAAAATCACATTTAAATTTTATGGAATATATATTGCATGCCAAATAATATAAAAAATTAATATAAATTTCAAATTTTTAAAAATAATGATTAATGTCTATACATTAAAATAAACTATTTTTCTTATCCTAAAATAAATATATCTTAAAATAAAAATAAAACCTAAATAAGATTTTTTTTTGTAAATTAATAAAATTTCAAAATCCCAACATTATTAATTTATAGAAGTTTTACTGTACTATTATGTTTCCTCCCTTAACTTTATATATATATATATATATATATATATATATTTAGAAAATGAAGTAATAAACTTTTTTGTTAATTATTCTACAGAATAAACTTTAGCAAAAAAAAAGTCTATTACTTCACGTTTACGTTTAGAAACAATCCAATTTAGCCAAAAAAGAAAAAACTAAAATTAAATAATACGTTGAAAATATTTACACTTCTTATAATTAACAAAAAATATATATAATTGTATGTATCATAAACGTTTAGAAACAATCCAATTTAGGGGAAAAAACATTACTTTACTGCCAATATTATCTTTGAAAGTCCATGTATATTGTGCTAAAAACATTCAAAATCATTTGATGACAAAAGAACATTCAAATTAATTTAGTATTAGCATATAAACTAAAACTCTAATGTGTGTTAATTTTAATATCTGAAAAAAACTTGTTCTTTTTTTTTGGGTCAAAAACCATTTTTCATAACTGTTTTCAGGAAAGAAATAGGGCAATTCTATTAATAGTCCTCTTTTAAGTTTTTATCACAAAAATAGATCTCAAAAATTAAAATGACCAAAATAGTATTTTTTTGAAAATATTAAGTTTTTTTTTTTATTTTTTTCTCAAATTTAAAACCCTATGCCCAAAATCCACTCGTCAACTCTAAACAAAAAAGTTTAAAATTAATTAAAAAATGTATATTAATACAATATTTAATTAATATTTGGTTATTTTAATTGTGAAGGTAAATTTTTTTTTAGGTTATTTTAATCATTTTCTCTGAGAAATACATTCAGCGGAAAGTCCGTCAAAACAATACCTAGAGATTCCGTCCACACGTCAGTTTCCAACTCAATCCATGTGCTTTCTGCAATCGAATCCCAACACGCTTTCTAATTTTCTATTACTACCCGATTTGATCCGATTTAAGTTTCTCCATCTCTCTTCCCCCACCACCATCCAAGTTAATCTCCCAGAAACTGTGATTCTTCTAGTAATCTCCCGATCTGTTCAGTTTTAATGGCAAAAGAAGCAGCAGAAGGGTTGAGAGTGGAGCAAAGACATGGGAAGGCTAGAGTTAGAGTTGCGAGAGTTTGGCGTCAAGGCGTGGATGGATCTCATCACTTTGTTGAATGGAACGTTAGCATCAGTCTTCTCTCTCATTGCCTCCCTTCTTACCACAGTGACGATAACTCCGACATCGTCGCTACCGATACCATGAAAAACACCGTAAGTCCCTATTGTCTCACAACAAAAAAGACAAAGAAACCTTGTTGACTAATCTTGACTCAAAAAAGACAAAATATTTGATGTTTGTATTACATCATCTTACTTGTTTCTTCTCGATCATGGTTTATAAATCTGCATCTGCCTGGCTTAGTTTTGGATTGTAGATCATAATAGGTTCATTGTAATAAAACAACTTGTTGGAGGATCTCGAGGCTGGAGATATATGTACTGGTGTCCACCAAATTAGTTCTTGTCCTGTTTCTTGAGAATCAACCTTTTTTGTTTTGAATGATTGGGACATATGCAACTTACTTTGGTCTGTTATGTTTTTGAATGAAAAAGGTTTATGTCAAAGCGAAAGAGTGTGGAAATCGACTCTCTGTAGAAGAATTTGCAGTACTTTTAGGGAATCACTTTTGCTCCTTTTATCCACAGGTATATTATATGCACACTATCAATTCAATATACACTCTGCTTGTTACTATGCTTGTTACTCATCTCATTTCTTGTTTATTGTTTCAAGGTTTACACTGCTATTGTTAATATCATTGAGAAGCCTTGGGAGCGCGTATGCATCGATGGAAAACCCCATTTACATGGTCGGTTTATTGACATTTTTTCCTCTCTGTAACCAGTTTTGCTATGGTTTGATTAAGTTTCTTAGTAAATGTTTTTTTTTTAATGTTTTGGTTAAAGGTTTTAAGCTAGGGTCAGAGAACCATACTGTGGAGGCTACTGTACAAAAGTCTGGTGCACTAAGCTTAACTTCTGGTGTTGCAGGACTAGCTCTGCTCAAGACAACCCAGGTACACAACCTTCTGTTTTTCTTTTGAATTTTCACTGTTATAACGGCGAGTTAAATGCTCTTTGGCTAGTGTTTCCTACGATGCAGAGAGTTATTGGCTTGCAAAAGAACTCTTTTGGTCTTCTCGTTTAATCCCTTTTCCTAACCTAGAGAATTATTGTTGCCGAGTCTACTCTATAAGAAAGGGAAACACAATGTAGATCGTTATACGAGTCATTGTTTGTCTAAAGCTTTTAGAGATATAAGTCCACTCCTCTAACTTATGAACTTGAGGCATATGAAAATCGAGATTTGATGTTATTATTTGTGAATTGTGAATCTGCTTTGGAAAGAGAGTGTTAAATGATTGTTCACGAAAGCCACTTTTATGCAAATGGACAGTCAGGGTTTGAGGGGTTTGTGAGAGACAAGTACACCATTCTGCCTGATACTCGAGAGAGAATGCTTGCCACAGAGGTGAATGCATCTTGGAGGTATAAGTTAATCAATGATATTAAATAGATTTCTTATTTGTGAATGATTCTTGATAACCGAAACTAGATAGTTCATGGTGACAGGTACTCTTATGAGTCTGTTGCAAGCATCCCGAAAAGAGAACTCTACTTCAACGAGAAGATCATGCAAGTAAAGAAAGTTCTGATGGATACTTTCTTTGGTCCTCCTGAAACCGGTGTATACAGCCCTTCTGTCCAACGCACACTCTATCTTATGGGAGGCGCTGTACTGAGAAGGTACCATCATATCTGTCTACATTCTCCTCACTGTTTATGTGATTCTTACCATGCTCAGGTTCTTTTGACATAATCAGGTTCCCTGATGTAGCATCAATTCACCTTAAAATGCCAAATATACACTTTTTACCTGTAAATCTTTCAACCAAGGAGAACCCTACAATGGTTAAGGTAAGAATCTTCACGTTTTTGTTGTCTCTTATGATGAGAAATTACAAGATGTGAATGGTTTATGATAAATTGCTTTTGCAGTTTAAAGATGATGTGTACCTGCCAACGGATGAACCTCATGGATCTATAGAAGCAACCCTAAGCCGCATAACCTCAAAAATATAAGCTTTTGGACAATGCAGTGACAAATTAAATTCACTTCACATGTTCTACAACTTTTGGCTTTTGCCTTGTTTATGAAATAAAGAGGGACACTCTTCATGGGTGCTATATGTTGCAAGCAACTATGGTGACACAAAAGTGTATGTGATGTATGGAGCTGCATTAATGTGCTATTATACCTTCCTTGTACCCAAAATGTTTCAACTTGAATGCTGTTTTGGTGGAATTGAATCATTGCTCCGTAAGGATCAGACACACTGTTGAAGGTGGTCATGATCTTTGCCTGTAGAATGAATTGAAGTATGGTCTGGAGACAATATAAGATTGTCAGTACAGAATGAGAATCATATCATGAATCCATATATTTTTAAAACTGGCATTTTGATTACTCCCCCATGCAAAATATGCATTTTTTCACGTAAGGAGCATAACATTTGAGAATGCTATAAAAGAGAATGTTTGTGTAACTAAATGGGTCCAAGGCGCGGGGTAGTTCGGTTATCAATATTTCCGAACTGAACCGATACTCAAACTTAAACCTAAAAAATATTGATAGTCGAATGTGTAGTTCAAAGCCGATACCCAAATAAATGTATGCTTATTGCTTATACTCAAATCAATGTATGATTAAATTAGTTATTTTATGCTATTTTAATATTATACAATATTTTTTAGTAATTTTAAATATTTTCAAGTATTTCCCTATATATTTTTTGGTTATTTTAATATGGAAATATTTAATATAATTTTAAAATATAATTTAAATAAATAGGTGTTGAATACATTTAGATACCTAAAACTATTAATAATACTCGGATAGCATCCGAAAAATTTCGAGTCAAACCAATATGAATCCAAAAAATATTCTGGAATAAAATTTTAAAATTAAAAATTTATATTTAAATAGACCGATCTCATATCCGAATGATTCAGTAAATATAAAATAATTAGAGAAAAATAGCCTATCTTATAGACCAAAAAAAATTATTAGCAAAACTAACAATGAGTTTTTTTTTTCTTTTTTTTTTTGTTTCCAAAAAAGATCACCATTTATCTTTTCTGCTTTTTTTTTGGTGTCAAATGGGTGGAGGGAAATTATGTAACCTCCTCTCCAATTTAATTGTTGATCTAAAACTAAATAATGTGTGTGTTTGGTTGGTTATTTGAACAATTAACGCAAACAAAATATTGCTTGCTTCCATAGTAGCAAACAAATATTGGAAGAAGGCATTTGCACATAAAATATTAATGGTAATAGGCCCAGCAGTGAGGCCCAAGTCAGGAGCTTGCGAAATGGCCAGAGTGATAAATATATTGTTTTCATTCTTTTACCATTTTTTTTTTTTTAATTCTGTACTCTTTCTGTTATATTAAAGTGAAAAATTAAAGCGCCTGCTCTTTGCGCTTAACATTCAGTTGGAAATTCAAAACAGAGTGAGACAATGGAGAAGGGTGATTCAACTGGTAAGCTGTTCATTTTGATTTCAAAATTTGATATAGATTAGAAATGAGCTTCTTTAAGTGTTGACGATATTATGCATTTGTTTTCGATCATCAGATTTTGAGTCTCGGTGCTTTTGAGATACGAGGGAGATGAGTTTTGATGTATATTCGTAGACGATCGTTCGTTCGTTCGTTCTCGGCTATTATTTTGTGTGTGTGTTGAGCTGATGATAAGTTTGTAATTCATGATCTGTGTGTTTTCATGATAAGTTTGATTTCCGTTCTCATCTCGTTTCGTTCTGATTTCTGATGACTATTCGACGATTTGTGTTTTTTCACTTTCTTCCCTGAGATGAGCTTCGTATTCGATTCTTATGCATGTGTTCTCGATCATTCAGAGTTTTGATATCTAATGATTAGATTCCAATCTCAGTTCGTTTGTTTTTTGTACTTAATCTAATCTCTTTGCTTATGAGCTCCAGCGGAGATGTGAGACGAGATGTTTCGTAGCTTCTCCTGATGATGTTCGAGTTTGATTCCATTCGAGATAATATCTTTTTATATGTGATCATGGATGATGATCTCTGTGTTTGTGTAAAAGTTTGATCAAGATCTGAGACTGATGTGTATTTCGTTGGTGAATATAATTTGTTCAGATTCATCTATTCGTCGTAGCAAGCGCAAAGGTTCAAACTCATTGAAGGCTATGAAAAAGAGACAGAAGACTGCAATCCCATGGCCGAATGAGACTGCTGAGGAGGACAAATACTCTCTAGGTCCTCCTGCGCAGAAAGCAGAGGGTAAGATTCTGAATTTGGAAGTCTCTGATTGTGTAAATTGCGTTGCATTGGGTGAAACTGTTAATAACACACAAAAAAAAAAAATCCTTCTTTTTCTAGAGGTTCCTTCAAAACTCAAGAAGAAGAAGAAACGCCATAACCACAAGAACAGGAGAGCTAAAGAGTGTATGTCCTTTTTCTTTGCTTGCCTTGCCTCGCCTCTAATGATTTTCTTTTGTGGTGAATCAAATTCGTAACTTCCTATTTCTTAGTGGCTTTGTCAGCTGCGAACATAGCTAGAGAAAAACAAGGTAACATAGTTTGGAATTCTCATTAGGGTTTTCCTTATTTGTATTCCTAATTTTGTCCGTCCTTATTTCTAGCTGAGTATGGAGAAGAAGATACAAGTGCCGCCGATAAAGAAGAGAGTACTGCAGGTGATTGCTCTCTCCCTA